TCTATGAAAATTGTATATTGATGCGATAATATGCGTTTATAACAAGTCATATTAGATTTATTTTCGTACCTATTTATTTCAGCTTTGAAACAATCTTGTTACCCAATATTTGGACATCTCTTACTATAGGAAAACTCGATTCATATCATACGTATTTTAGTTTTGGAGAAATAAATGATATATTCTTGCAAAATATATTAACCCTTCACCTCATATATACCCGAAACAACGCATTTTCGACCCCCCCCCCTCTTTTAGGCCTCAAACAGTGAAAAAATGTTCTATTTGGGCCCAAAACACATGTTTTCGTTTGAGAAATGTTGCTAAAAAAGCGAGCACTTTTCCGGCGCCGCCCCCCATCCAAACGATTTATCCAGGGGTTGCCAGAAGGGGGATGTGCCCCCTTCTGTCTGAGGGTTTGAAGTGGGTGGGGTCCCCCTCATCGCCAAGAAAATTTTGGACTTGTGAGAGGCTAAAAATGACCCCAGTTCGATCATAAGATAACGTGTAAAACCAACGCTGAAAAGCCTTTGACTCTATCTCAATCCCATGAGAAGTTGCAGCACTTTAAAATAAATTATGATGGAAAAAATCAAGGCGAAATGGTGATTTTTGGCAATTTTGAGATGTCCCCTCGTTACCATGGTAACAGGAAATTTAAGACTGAGCATGTCGTTACAAAGCCAATGGTCCAGTCAACATTTGTGCCAAGTTTGATTAGTATTGAAGCATTTTTCATAGTTTTATAGCAGTTTGAACTTGTAACAGGAGGCTTTTCAATGAAAACGGCCATTTTTCACAATATGCTCATGAGGGAAAGGGTTAAAAACATAAGCTTTTCAATGCGAATGATGAAAGAAAAACGGAAGAAAGAAAATGAAGGGTTTTGCTTAAAAGAAATATACACATAAACAATACAAAACAAAACAGATAATATTAAGATATTTACCAAATACATCAACACATCCACGGCCTATACCACAACAACCGCCTGTAACTATAGCAACCTTGTCTTTAAACCTGCCTCCGCTTGCCATTTCTATGAAATTATTATAAGTCGCAATTTAAAATGGTTTTAAAACAACGGCATTTACGTTTTTTAATAAACAATTGTACATCATTTTATAATGTGCTGCTTAATATACATTGTACTGAATTTTGATTGGCGTAAATTTTTATACCTGCTCAAAATAGTCTTAAAACAGGAAAAAATGAGGCCAAAATTACCTTACAGTATCTCCATTCAATGGACAATAGTTTTATAGCAATGATATGGGCCGTATTTGTGTAATATAATTAAACCAACCAAATTTATAACCTACCTGTATCGATCGGTAATTTTCAGATATCTGCCATCACTGCAGTGATCTGCCATCACTGCCGCCGGTAATACGGTGTGTATTGTTCTATGCGAACCAAACTCCGTCTACGTTCATCTTCTGGCAACTATGGCTTAATTTCAATACAAAACGAAACTATTAGTCTATTACACATTAGTTGAAAGAATTTCAAAAGATACATCGTACAGCAGCATTTTAATACATTACATACAAATATTGTTTTTGTCTGACATCTTATGAATTATGAACTATAGTTTAATAGCTTATGTACTTTGTTTTTCAGATATCTTTAATGAATATGTCCGCGTTTTATAGCACGTGGCTTTGTCTGGAATACAATAGGTTGGAAACAATTGGACCTGATTGAATTATTACTTGGAAAGTCCACAGAATGAAAAGACGCAATAATAAAGGGTTCAAGTAATGTATAGCACGTAGACGTCACAATAAACTGAAACCAAATGACTTTTGCATATACACGGTGCTATTAGGATTCTAAGACTTGAAGTGTCACAAAGTAACAACAACATTGCAGTCATCGCCATGTAGTGGCGTTCGTGGCCGAGTGGTTAAGGTCGTTGACTTCAATCTACTTGCCCCTCACCGCTGTGGGTTCGAACCCCGACAGGGACTTTGGATTCTTTCATGTGAGGAAGCTATCCAGCTAGTTTACGGGACGTCGGTGGTTCTATTCAGGTGCCCGTTCGTGCCTGAAAAAATGCACGGAGGGGCACCCGAGGTCTTCCTTCACTAGTAAAGTTGGAACATCGCCAAATGACCTACACTGTGTCGGTGTGACGTAAAACCCAAATCAAACATCATCGCCATGTATTATCTTGAAGCACTGGAGACGTTTAACATTGCTACACAAAATATCAACTCTGTCGACCTTTACTTCAACCGTTCTTCCGGTACAATGATACAAATAATATGTCGAATCCTATAGAAGTTTTATTTCCGAAAATTAAACAACAACAAAAAACAACGTTTCAATGAATAGAGACCACAAGACGTAAATGAATTCAAATGTGAATTTTCTTTTTATCAGAGATTAAAAAGACAGTCACGAGTGTGGTAATGTGAATGATTGAAATTATGTTTCATACACTTGATTCAGGCCGAGACTAACAGAATAGCGGTGAATTGAGGCCTACTTACCATACATAAACAAGAGTCCTCCTGAGATACCAAATGGTAAACCCGATTTAATTTACTTTCTACCGGAATAATTTGGTGGACACAATTATGAAAAGATTGTAGATCAGCATGATAATGATGCTTGTTGCGAAATGGACGGCATACGCAGGAGAGTTAACAATATTACTAAAGACCAACCTTCGCATTCCAATAGATGTACAAGGGGCGATAGAACTATACAGGGAACTACTGGAAGTTATTGACGAAGTTGCTTATGTGTACTATCGCTTTATTCTTGTTCAACTGTAAAGAGGGTATTACGAGTGTATTTTCATATTGAGTTTTTTTTTTCAAGAATTATGTAAAAATAAAAATATGCATCTGTGTGAGCAATTAATTATATCTTTTATAAAATCAAGACATGCAATAATTTCAATATTAAAAGAAACAAAATTGATGTTATTATCTTATCTTTTAATTGCAATTAAAACAATTTATCCGTTATGGAAATGGTAAATGCAGCCATTGTCCAAAAATCTTTAACAACATTGACGTCACAGCTGTATTACAAAAATGTTATACAATGTATACAATATGGCCGGTAGGTCTAAACTACGAAATCTAGGCTGTTTTCGCGATAATAATAAAACAAAAATTCAACTTATTTTGTTAAAACACACATATACATTTTAAGTACGTTTGAAGATTAGATATATCTTTATTTGGCATTACAAATTTATTTTAAAATGTCACTTTTATGTTTTGACAGATTCACTTCCATAGCATCTGAAAAAAAATCTAGTTGCATTACTTATAATTATTTGAACACTTTTTTTCTTTTTTATTGATCTCGTTTATTCTTGCTCTCCGCCCGTGCTGTCACTTGTCAAAATTTCCTGCGAATTTCATAGTCGTCCAAACTGTAATTTTTATGTGAAATGCCTGAGCCCAGGACCAAGCTGTTTCTGCAAAAAAAAGGTATAAAGGATAATTTAATGAATATACACCAATGCATTTATCTATATTTATCTTGAAATTTGATGTTTAAATTGTCGGTGTTTTTAATTTAACAAGGACGTACCCGTTATTTAATGATGAGGAAAAAAGACGTGTCACTCACATCAAAATTTGCTATACATTAGTGTTATATTATTATTTGCTGATAAGAGGGTTTATTTGCAAACTTTACCCAGATATTCCTACAAAATAGTTCCACTTGGACAAATTTACAGAGCCAACATTAATTAATATATATATTAGCATTTACCTTATTATGTATTACAAGTCTTTTTTTCGTGACATATTTTGTATTGTAAATTAAGACTTATGTATAATGACCTTTGTATTATGTCTTATGTATAATGACTTTTGTATTATGTCTTATGTATAATGACTTTTGTATTTTGTCTTATGTATAATGACTTTTGTAGTATGTCTTATGTATAATGACTTTCGTATTGTGTTTTATGTGATATGAATTTAACAATTATATATTTTGAATTTAAAAAATATTGTTCTTGTTTCCTAGGTATCAGTATTTCATATATAGAGGATATTGAATGAGTGTAAGTTCAAAACTGAATTTATTGCACGAGTTATAATATTATTTTATTCAACGAGTGCAATAAATTCAGTAATGAACTTACACGAATTCAATATTCTATTTATCACATACCCAAAAAAGACCATTTAAAGTGAAATAAGAGTCTTTTTTCATTGACGCGCCTATAGTATAACGCTAACATTTAGCGCGTCATTTCGCTATGTTTGTATAACGCTAATGACGTCACGTCAAAATATATGCACGGCCGTGCAATACCATATTGACGGAGTCGCAAAATCGGCACGGGTGTGTGATAAATTCACATATATTGTTCAACTAGCAAGATGATATGATAATTCGATAAAATATCATCATTCAGTAACTCGGGCTTTGTAATTGCCAGATAAATTATAAACCGATGTCTTGTATTTTACTTTGTAAAAAGAGTCACAGGTAGAGGCTAAATGTCAAATATGTTTACCTCTATGAATCTCCATAAGTTTATCTTTTCCAATGTTTTCTTGGTCTTAGCCTGCTATGTTCTGACCTAGTACCTAAATACGTTTACTACTCGCATTTACCTGAAATAATAATGTATATTTTATACAGAATAAAGTTTCACACATTTTGTTTTGCAAATATCTTGATACTTAAACTTTAACAGTTTAACTTTAACAGTTAACATAATTGTTGTGCCCCGTGACCTACTTTTTCATTTGAGATGATCCATAGTCGAACACTAACCTTGTAAGGGAGATGATTATACAAGTAAGGAGAAATACACTACTGTCATACTGTTTAAATTTCAACACTTACCAAAGCGACTGCTGTTTCACTATCAGATTTACCTCCAAAGGCTGCCATGATGAGCGTGCTTGATGAAACTTGTCTTTTTGCCGCTTTTTTGTAAAGTCATAATACATAAGACAAAAGTCATAATACATAAGTCATTAGTCATAAGACATAACCCCTAAGACAAAATGGCACTTATGGGCTTCCGTAAATAATTGTTCTATTCGTTTCCGCGTTTGAACTCAGCAAAACGTTACATCAGATAGATTAAATATCCTGTCTTTTTTTTCATATTTCATTTGTCATTTCAGAACATGACACATTCTTAGTGCATATATGCATTCGATAATGTTGCCGCATTTTTGTCGTTTTTAGAACTTGACACGTTTATAAATACACCTAAAAGTGAATATTATAGAGCTGCTCGTCTCTACACCCAGCCAATGTGGGAAATGTTGCTCGAGACACTGATGTCAACTCGATACTTTCCTATTCTCGGCCATTATATTCTCTTCCCCGATTCTTTGTTAGTAAATGTTGCGAAGGCTGTCGTCGAATTTACAAAGGTATGCTGTAGGTTTTGTCGTTCCCTTCATATAATTATAATATATATTATTTAATATATGTATTATCGGTATAAACAACGCTTGAATATTTCAATTTTAAATTGTTAAATAAACAACAATACATGTATCATTATGATACATGTAATAGATTTCGATATTATAACATCTTTAAAGTAGCAAGCCTCCAGCTGCAGATTCATGCCAATTTTAATGAATATTTTAAAAATGTATTTAAAAAATGAAAATAATGTGCAGTGAACAAAAAGAGTAATTTACACATTCCAAACGGCACTTACAATCGCGTAAAATACCAAAAAAGAGACCAAAAACATACATAAATGTAGCTCTTATTGCGTTAATCACGCAGTAAAATAATAATGGTAATAAATATTACAAAATTAGTCATTGATCACACGTAACATGTAAATCATTTTTATGGGTCTTGAATCTTTATTCTTAAAATTTAACTGCATTTTTCTCAATTTGACTTTCTTGGAATATTTTGGCTCATCTGGAGGCATGCAGCCTTAAACAATCCCAAATACAGGCAATGATGTAAATACATTTTTACGATTTAAGATTCAAATAACTTGGCTGTTCTGATTGCGAATGGTAAGTAATTTATTAGTATACATGCACTCTTAATAAAATATCATCCCTTCAGCCTTTTAAACAGCGATACTGGCTTATTTTCTATTGTCGACAAATGTAAATACGATTACCCATTTACAATTACCTAATTAATGTCCCTTATACCATTTTTCTAAGGATATGTCAGTGTTCAACAACCCAGATTTACGCGAGGTGCCATTAACTTCGGCCACAGTTACCTCTACTGCGGAGGGATTAGGTAAATTGTATGGGATACTTGCAAATGGTGGCACTGCAAAGAGTAAGGTACTACTGAACGCGGAGCTGGTTAAGAAACTAGCCACGCCTCTGTCACAAGGAACTGATAGTGTTATAAAGCAAGAAAACTCCATGTTTGGCCCCGGAACGGTGATAATGAAAAACCCAAAGGTAATGTAGAACTGCGTTGTTTTCATTGATAAAAAGATCAACTGTTTTAATACATGTATTTAATTTGCAATATGGATGAAACCAATTTTCAATATATAATTCCTATTTAAGTGAATTGGTCTATTATGGAATACGTCTAATACCATACATAATTATGAAGATAGTATTAAGTATCATATGGGACAAGAAACCACGAAAGAATTATGTATGGATGTTATTGGTAGAAGTTAGATATATGATCCGATTTGACATATCAATATATAGCAGAAACTAACAAAAACTACTGTTCGTCATAAATATGTTAATAAAAAATCACTTTACAACTCTTCCAACATTTTGTATTACAGAAATATTTCATAAGATTAACTCAATGATACATTTCTATTGTTTTAATCACTGTTTGAAATACTTGCGGAAGGTGTGCCCATTGTAGACCAATTCACTTTAAAATGCACCTCTTATTGGTCAAAGGTAGCATATGGTAGCCATGCAAAAATGGAACGTCCATGCACTGTTTTAGATATATCTATATCGAGTTTCAAAAAAGTGACACCGATGAATCAAATTCATTTATTGTAATTATTTCGAAAAAAAGCATATTAAGTTTATATTTTCCAGGGTCAACTGATGTTTGGGCATTCCGGTCACGGAGGTCAAGTTGGCATGGCGGACGCGACAAATAAGCTCGGCTTTATGTATATAACAAACCATATATCTATCAATGGACTTGGAGATGATCCGCGCTACCTTGACCTTGAAAATGCTTTGTACAAGTCTTTAGATAACCATGAAAGTAATATCGGTAATGAAAATGTATAAATCAGTTAAGATCATCGAATCCTGTCAAAAGTATTGTGTATCTATCTAGGATTAATGTAAAAATAAACCATTGGAAAGTTGTGTTTGTACTGGTTATTACGAATACACACAAGTAGATTGCTATTTTTCCATACAAACACCTTTATAGGGGGTAGTGGCAGGGCATACATCTTTTCAACTAAACGACCATGCAGAAGAGCAAAGCCATATACAAAAGAGAAGAAAACGTCAACTGAGTGTACATTTTGAAATGAATTCAGGAAAGAAAAAATCTCATAGCGTGTACTTCATAAGATGATTATTGCCCAGTGTGATTACCAAATAATATATATTAATTGATAAAATTGTACAGGAAGTCAAACTAATTTTAGACGGCATTCGGTCGGAATATAAAAACAGGCATCAATGATTAATATAAACCGATCTATTTGCCAAATGTTTTCAAAGCAGATGACATCCTGTTGATTAACTTATAGATCACTAAAAGAGTAATAATAATAATAAAAAAATAATGATGATGATGATGATGATGATGATGATGATGACAATAATAATAATAATAATAATAATAATAATAATAATAATGATGATGATGATGATGATGATGATGATGATGATAATAATAATAATAATAATGATAATGATGATGATGATAATAATAATGATAATAATAATAATAATAATAATAATAATAATAATAATAATAATAATAATATAATAATAATAATATTTCGACTACTTTGCCAATTTTCATGTAAATATATCGGATAGTTATTCATGATAATTCAATTTCTTTCTCACATATCATACACATTCTTTGCTGTACTACAGTAAATTTTCTTATTTAATAAAAACAATTTATCATCAGCTTTATGCTAAAAAGTTTATCCAAAGAAAATACATACAAATCAATTGTAGTTTTTTTTTGTAGATTATTATTAATTAACGGAAGTCTTTTTTAACGTAGGAAAGTATCGTTTTTCTTAACTACACGAAGTATACTCAAAATCAGATGGTTTAAAAAAATCAGTCGACCGTTTCTTATACTAACTAAATGTACATGTACACCACTTCAGATAGTCAAGCTGTTTAGGAACATGGATATTGAATATTAACATCATTTTAACGTTACATAAATGTTAATGAAATTACCATCTACGAACAAAGTTCTGTCTTTAAATAGTTGGAAAGAATGCTGTCTTTAAATAGTTGTAAAAAAGTACATGGTTATTATAGCAAACAGTCACCAAAGAACTTAATTAAGCTCGTTCGTTAAAAATGGACATAGACAATTTATCAAACTTACTTGCAGGCTTATATTAAAATTATACGGATCTTTATTTTGTGGAAAATGGGATTTATAAGACAAAGTGTTACATTTTGTGTTTTGATTGTTTTGTATACCTATATTTCGTCCCTTCTGGAACAAAAACTACCTGTAAATGTTGATGGGTATTATCATCCAGCATTTAAACGTGTAGCTGAAGTATTCAGGTATGTTTTTATAACGTTAAAACAGGCTAGTGTAATCTAAATAATCTGACGGATACCTTCTTTTAGTCAGTATGAGTGAGTTTAATCACACTGTTTGCAAGGATATATACGCCCCCTTAAACTTTCAAGTGTTTACTGAATTCTATGGTGGCCGGTTACGGCCATTTCCAACCCGCGAGAAATTTTATCGTTTTATCATGAAATGTCGCGGGCAACTTACAAATTCTCGAGATTTTCTGCCGAAATCGTACAAAATGTCGCAGGGAACGTATAAACCTCGATAATTTATAACAGTTGTTGGAAACAGCAAGGAATATTTTGACTTTAGTGGCCGGTAGCGTCCATGGTTTGACTTAACATTTTATCCCTCGTTTGTCTATAAAAAGTCGAGGAACAGAAAGAAATCCTCGACATTTTGTGCAAGTGTTGTTAAAATTCTACAAAAAGTCTAGGGGAAAAATTTATAGAACGCGATTGTTTATTCCTCAACAACGGATTTTCACAAAAGGTCGCGGGTAAAAGATCCTCGACTTTTTGTAAGAAATCCGCGACCTTTTTAGCCGCGACTTTTTTGAAAAGAGAAATTTCCCGGCATAAAATGTCGAAGCTTAATGCTCAAACTGGACTTATTACAAAACAAAATATTACAAAACTCGACTTTTTACGATAGAAGTATGACAGAAAAACTCGAGAGTTTCTATAATCCGCGACATTTTATACAATTTCGAAAAAAAACAAAAACAAAAAAAAAAAACTCGCGGATTTAACAGTTGCCCGCGACATTTTATACACTGACGGTAAAAATTCTCGCGGATATAAAGTGGTCGCTATCGACCACCATGCAAAGACTTTAAACTATTTCATACTCAGTCTTACAGGGCAACGACCTTGAAAATGTAAACCAAACATTTAAATATACATTTGTATTTACAAAATAGTTTGTTTCGTATATTGGCCAACCGATTAAGCATCAGTAGTTTATAAATAACCATGCGTAAACCATGCGTAAAGTGATGTTATCTACGTACATGCATGTCATGTTCTTGTATGTTTAAAGGCCCAGTACGGTCACGGTATGGAAACCAACTGTATCATCCTTCGGATATGGTGACGAGACTTTGTTTTCTCGTTGATAACAAAAGGAAAACATGTACATGTTCACGAACATTAGCATACGAGTAATCATCTTTTAAGTATTGCAATGTGCTAACTAAGGAACGTTGGTTATGAATTAATTTTTACCAGAATAATTATCAATTATTTAATGAAGTCATCAGACACATGCATTATGACGTCTAGACACATAAACACTTTTCGAAAGTTCGTATTTTGATTATAACGGTTTTGTCAAATATTTACTTAGTTTATCATTAGGTTTAAGTATAGGTCCTCGAACAAATTACCGATTAAGAAGACTACATTGTTATTGATTGACAGAATCAATGAAACATGGTTTATCGAAACTAACATCCTTTGAATATGAATTTACAGTGATCTGTATGTTTTATTTTTTTGCTGTATAAAATAACGAAATCACATCATCGTATCTGGAGGACGATGCAGTCTACAGTTTCCATACAGTGCAAACGCTATACATGTATTACAAACAAACAAACGAACGAACGAACGAACAAACGAACGAACGAACGAACGAACTTACAAAGAAAGAGATCAAGCACAATACATTTTTTTTACATCTGCAACACATTTTTTTTCTTCAAATTGCTGTAATAAACCAAATTTTCAATGAAAAAGAACGAAAGGTGTGTGTTTGTGTGTGTGTGCGTGCGTGTGCGTGCGTGCTTTGGCGCGCGCGCGTGTGTGTGTGTGTGCGTGCGTGTGCTTGAGAAAAATCTTAACATGTTACTATGATACTAATAAAAGCGAAATCGATCATTGTTTTCAAGTAGTTTTCTTGTAGTTTGCAACATTATTCGAACTAAACATATATAGGATCAAAACAAAAGCATATCATTTTTTTGCTAAACTTTTTCAAATTTTAAGGAAAAGCGTTGAAAACAACAGGAATCCAGGCATAGCATTTGCAGCATATCATAAAGGCGACTTGGTGTTTGATATGTGGGGAGGGTACGCCGATTTTGAAGCACAAAGCCCCTGGAAGAATGACACTATTACGCTAGGATATTCTGCAAGCAAAGGTGTTGCCGCAATAGTTGTAGCTAAAATGGTAGAAATGTAAGCATGCATATTAACTAACGCAAACAATTCAGTAGAACTACAATAAATCAGGTTTTACGCAGTGAAATGACGACGGACATTTTAATTATCGCTGTGCATAAAGTACAAATTTTGTAAAGGAGGTAATTATATTTGATTGAATAATGCTAATATTTTGCTAGTAAAAATAAATGTCATTCCGAGACAAAATTCAATAAAAGGATACATTCAAAGCGTTAACATTATTTTTATATACGATTGCAGGGGATATTTAGACTATAATCGCCCAATAGCGCATTACTGGCCAGAGTTCGCTCAACAAGGGAAAGAAAACATCACTGTAGAAATGCTAATGAGTCATCAGGTAAGTTGGTATCGAACCCTTTACCTGTTGAATTTGTGCAATGGAGTAGCCCCGCCCTGAATTCGGAACCGCTCATTCAAAGTTTAAGCGATCCTGTCCCTAAAGCCTCTATCACATCAGCCCTACGGCAGTTGTAGGAACGAATTCTGACAAAAATGGCTGTGTTTCGTGCGGGAGCCGCAAGACATTTGTACGGATTTTTTAAGATCGCAAGGTTGCCGCAACGTCGCAGACAGATTTTTCAACATGCACATTATTTCTGCGTTTTTTGACAGCTATTGGACGCCTCAAGACTGTCGTAATATAATCTTTCGACAGACGCACGATTTCTAGAGGTTCTCATGTAAAAATGTTTTGCGTTTGTCTTGCGAAGACTGCAGGTTTGCCGCACGAGCATCCTGCGGCTACCATGGCCGTAATCAAATGACATTAGGTGATATATCCACAAATCTGTCTAGATTGACTGCGAAATTGCCTGCGACCTTTCTATGGCACATATTTCTCTGCAAATCGTGCGAACCAAATTTCTTGTGGTTGATGTGATACAGGCTTTAGACATTCATGGTTAACTATCGATTTTAGGGAAGATACGTTTTCAATGTTATAATAAATAAAAAATCTAACGACTAAATTTCAACCTACTAGAACCGAAAATGTTTAGCATTCACCATGCACCAGTATAGGGTCAGACCATCTCACACATCCATACAGTCTGACCAGGCTCTATACTGTTTTTAGCTCATTTTAAGTTGTTTTTTTAGGTTGAAAACCCATTAATTTTGAATGGACTGTTCCAATTCAAAACCGTGCAAATTAATTACAAACAATCAACAGGCTAATGAGTAAATCAATGATGTTTGAATAATTAAAAAAATAATACATACTTTTTCTACCTAAAATACAATAAAATTATGAAGTGCTAATTTTACGGATAAAAGTTCCTATTATGTTAGTGACAAATACGGTATTACATACGGAAGAGCAGGACTATTTTTCTCCCTTGGTTCCTATCTTAGCTTTGCATTGCGTTGTATTTTAGAAACGGGAGCTGATATGTTACTAAGGATGTGGCCTTTTTATGTAAAAGTGATGTTTTCATCCGTCATTCATGAAAGCTAAACTGTTGTTGGTAAAATAACTAATAGAAGTTAAATTTAGTAAATTGTTTAATATTAGAATTTGTATGTGAATAGTAAAAGGAAAACTTTGTTGCAGTAGCTTTCTAAGGCGATGTTTTATGACACGAAAAACGTTTGAAAATAGTTCTCGCTAGACTTGTCTGCTGGAAAATGACCAGTTACTAATAAACAGAAAAAAAGACTTTACAAACACATCGTGTTGCACTTAAAAGGGTTATACATGCATAACTCTGATTTTCATAAATAATTTGGATGTCTCACTTTAATTGTAAAGGCAGGACTGGCAATTATTGACGAGTCTATACATTTGAGAGATATAAAAGAAAACCCAGAGAAAGTTGAACGAATATTAGCACGACAAAAAACATCCTGGCCAGCAGGTAATGCTAAAAATTTCTCATTAAGCCTAAAAATGATATCATATTTATTTTCCAAAAGCTTTCATTTTGGTGTCCCCGTTATATTTTCCAAAACAAGTTTACTTATTGGCCATATATTTGAGCCAATTTTAGTTCCTTTTCAGTTTTGGTTATAAGTACAGTTATAGCGAATAAGTACTTTTTTATGGCAGTCAAAGTACCACTATTTGCTATTTTATTGCAAAGTAGTTCACATTCAATGCTATTTTTCTCATGTGAGAAACATTTCGCATTTTCAAATTTTACTTAACTTTATACATTTCAGCCCTTTTTATTCTAGCTCACATCTCCCCATCATTGTATACAAAATAAAAATTTATCACACACCCGTGTCGATTTTGCGACTCCGTAAAAATGGTATTGCACGGCCGTGCATATATTTTGACGTGACGTCACTAGCGTTAACAAACATAGTGTAAAGACGCGCTAAATCAATGAAAAATGACTCTTATTTCACTTTAAACGGTCTTTATTTTGGGTATGTGATAAATAGAATATTAAATTCGTGTAAGTTCATTATTGAATTTATTGCACTCAATAAATTCAGTATTGAACTTACACTCATTCAATATCCTCTATATAATTTAAAGAGTTTAAAATAATAATAAAGAATGTATACTCCTCATGTTTTTGAAAAATGCTAAGACTTAAAGAACAAAAACAATAATATTATTTTTACTTTAAGTCAAATCTAAAATTTTAAAGAAAGAACATGTTAAAGATTATGATTAGATGATTAGTACCCATACAAATATTATAAAAATATCATAATGTTATAATTTTGACGAAATTTGAATAAGATAATTTGATTCATCTTCATCTATTTTTGTTCGAAATATACTTGTAATAATTAATGTATTGATAAATTATAAATACATTTCATGTTACTTTGCAGGCCAAGCTTTAGGTTATCATACGGTGTCATACGGCCCATATGTGGACACTTTGGTAAGGAAAGCAGATCCAAAAGGCCGAGAAATAACTAAAATATTTAAAGAAGATATTGCAGATATACACGGTACAAATACCAAGTATTTTTTAAATCTAAATACAAAAGAAATCGTTATTTTATATTCTTAAGTTTCATGAATATAGAGCTTACATGATCTATCTTACTCATAAAAAACGGAACTAAATATTGGAATGTTTTTAAAATATATGTACACAGGAACGTAAGTTAATTTGAATTGCACATGTCCTGTCATAACAAGCCTTCTTTTGCTTTCTTAAAATAACAGAGCAACTTACTAAACGATACGATCGAATCATACATCGGTCTAATGCATTCACAGATACGCTGGCATTAAATAGGGCACATCTTACATGCATTCTTTCCATCTACAGGTCTTGACATGTGGATGAATACTCCAAACGACCAGTTTTACCGAGCTGCACGAATCAATCAAGATCCAATTTGGAAATTCTTATTGAAAGCATTTATGGTACCTAAATATGCCAAGATGTTTACCAACTTAATTTTGTTTCCAAAATCAGTGTTTGCACGTTCTACACAGACTGTGGTGGAACTTGCTGAAGTAAGTAAAGCATGCTTTATTCTGACTAAAGATGTCAGACAAGTCATCATCTATGCCTTAGAAAAAAAAAGAAGAAAAAAACAATAAGTAGACATTTGGAATATAATTTTCCGCATTAACATTAAATCCTACGTTTTTAGTACTTAATTATGTTGATTCTAAATTATCTATCTTAAAAGAGTAAGCCACGCCATTTCTGTTTTCATGTAATATCTTGAAAGCATGTACACGCTGGTTTCCAGACGGTTAAAATAGAAACTGGTCCGCTTTCATGAAGTTCAAGGCGAAAGCGGCCACTGATTGGCTGATTGAAGAGTCATAAGTAGGTGACCTCCTCTCAGTCACCGTCAAATCTGCACGTAAACATACTATTAGGAAGACCTTTAGTCTTAATTTTGTGCATGTTTTAATTCTTTTATTGTATGATTTTTTTTTTCATGTACCAATAAAATTGAAGTTATTCGTTTATACAGTAGGGTGAACGTGTCAGTTTACACGCAAAACGCACGTTGCACGCTATACGAACGCACGTTACACGCTATACGAACGCACGTTATACGCACGCAAAACGAAACGAAATACGCAGACGCACGCAAAACGATATACGCTAAACGAAATACGCTAAACGATATACGCACGCTAAAACGCACGCAAAATGAAAACGTTTCTAAACCTTTATTAAAACATCGTAATAATTTTAAGTTTTTAACAACTTTAGTTAGATGTAGATCGTTAAGCGATAAATTTTGATTATCATATAGATCTATATGGTAGCTAGAAATGTATTTTAAACGAGTTTATGTAAGAACTGAAATGCACTCAATCTAGCACCGAAATTAATTATTGTCACAGCCTCAACAAATGATTTTTAGAAATATTTATAAGCTATCATGCGCTAATATCGAAAGTAAAATAGTTAGGGTAACGTGTTCCTTTTTATTCGCAATCGGATAAAGAACTATCCCTTGCATTCACTACGTAATCTCTACGTATTAGTCCAACATGGCCGACTTTGAAAAATGCATTGCAATGTTTCATAAACATACAGTGCTAACAATTAAATTCAGATGGATTTATGAGGAAAATCTATATATTAAGTGAGGCTGCATCATAAACAATCGAACTATATAATATTGAGTGTAAAATTAAGGAATTAACTATTTTGACAGAAGTCACGAAAACAGATTAAAAACACTGGATTCTACAACGGATAACATTAAGGGAAATGGATAACATTAGAGGAAAAGCGTCCAGAATCAAGAATGATTAAATTGCTGGCACAATACGTAGATTTAAGTTGATGTCCTGTATGTTTCATTAGGACACCACAATATTTACTGTCTTGTCGCCAGTAAAAGCTTCTCAAAACGAAAGTGAAAGTAGAAATAAACAGTGAAATCACTAAAAAAAGGTAAAATTTCTAGGGCATTACAATATATGAGTATAGATCTATATAAATATTAAGAACGCAATTTTATTTTAGGTCTGAAACTGTAATCAAGAGGAAAAAGATGAGGAAAATAAGGAAACTGGATAAGTTATTGGATTTACAAAGACAGCACAACAGAAAATAATCTTTCATATCACTTAAAATTGAAATTTATTGACATGCGCTTAATATGTAATATGAAATTAGGCAATTAATGCCTAATTTGAAACTAGGCAAAGCCTATGAACGGGGAAGTTGTTAAAAAATCCTTTCATTCTTTCCGTTTTAAAGGTGTCATTCGGTATTACATGCACTGCTTGACCGTTTTAACTCGGAACACTCGACGATAATTATTAATATGAAAAGTTGAGAATTGTTCCGTTATCTGAATACCCCGCCTTTTATCATTGAGTTAGATTGTAAATGTCGGCGCCAACCTAGAACTGACACTGAAAATTTCATTCATAGGTATAGAATTCTATATTTTTTTTAATTGTTTTTTAATTGAATTTTCTTTTAAATAAACACGTGTAGTCTATAGCCGGGCAAGCCAAGGCCCGAAGCGGGCCCAGACTTTGACTTCCCAGTATAAACGGGGAAGTCATTAAAAAATCCTTCATTATTTTCGTTTTAAAGGTGTCATTCGTTTTACATGCCCGCTTCCGTTTTCACACTCGGAACACTCGACAATTATTATTGATACGAAAAGTTGAGATTTGTTCCATTATCGGAATACCCCGCCTATTATCATTGAGTTTCATTGTAAATGGCGGCGCCCGACTAGAACTGACACTGAACATTTCATTGATAGGTATAGAATTCTATATATTATATTTCTAATTGTTTTTTATTTGATTTTCTTTTAAATATACACGTGTAGTCTATAGCTGGGCAAGCCAAAGCCCGGATCCGCTTCGCGGGCCTGGTCTTTGACTTCCCCGTATTAATATGCTTATCACACACCGGTGACGATTTTGCCACTCAGTAAATATGGTTACAGTATTGCACATCCATGCATATAATTTGACGTGACGTCATTAGCGTTATACAAAGATTGTGTAAAGACGCGCTAAATGTTAGCGTTATACTATAGGCGCGTTAATGAAAAACTACTCTTATTTCACTTTAAACGGTCTTTATTTTGTGTATGTGATACAGTAGGGTTAACGTTTCAGTTTACACGCAAAACGCACGTTCCGGAAAAATTGCACACACGTTACATGCTAAACAAACGCACATTACACGCACGCTTTATGAAACGAAATAGGCAGACGCACGCAAAACGAAATACGCTAAACGATATATGCATGCTAAAACGCACGCAAAATATCCTTATAAAATATCCTTATCATATAAATTTTTAACAACTTTAGCTAGATAGTTTAGTGATTTGATTAAATGATTAGCTAGCCATTCATGTATTTTTAAACGGGTTTATGTTAACTAAACTTATCTTATGTCCCAGGTTAGAGCTGTAATGATATCAATCAGCGAATGCACTCAACCTGGCACAATATTATTTTTTGTCAGGCAGCCTAAACAAATGATTATTGAAATTATAAGCCATCAAGCGCGCTAATACATGCATTAAAAAATTATTTAACAGGGTCGTCTTTATGCACATTTCTGAAAAAATAACTTTGCTGTAACCAGGAATGTCTTAGATAGATAATAATTACTGTACTTCGACACCGCTTCTGGCCTAAACAAAATAAAACAAAATGGTAGTAACTTTAGCAAATCAGCGATCAAATTATCAAATCATTTACATACAGGCGAACGAAATTAATACATGACCTTTTTAAACAAAGGAAAACATACATTGCAGACCGGCAGCCCAACATATTTTCCAGACAAGGCTAAATCTATATGTTTCAGGACTTTACACCTCCTGGACGTTTCGGCCCTGACAGTTTCCACCTCAATTTTTAACCACCTTTTTTCAATTTTATAAATATATATAATAAATACCATGCATTATGGGTTATAATATATTCTAACATGACCCGCATTTACCCTATTGAACATAGAAGAACAGAAAGTGTGTGTTACTTATGCAATAGATGCACAGTTTGACATTCTATATTTAGACATGTGACGTAATCATTATACACGTGACGTAACCACAAAAAATCTGACGACTGCTGAAAAATAAGTACGGAAACAAATCTGAGGTGCAATTTGCTTAACTATCAAGTATCAAGTATCAGCAACATTTATTTGTTGATGTCGTGATAGAATCGAAATAATATATCCAAATCAGTGATTTTATCGCTTGATAACAACACTGGTTTGTCATTTGAATGTGCATCATTATAATTCTTCGCATCCGAACATTGCATCCAAACAGTGATGTTATTGAGCGATAAAATCACTGTTTGGGATATATTATTTCTTAAATATATATATTATATAACATACTTGCAAACATGATTGATATAAAAAAGATTTTCGGTGATAATACGTATAATGAAATTTATTTATAAGGCATTATAGAAAATTAGCCATTATTTCTTAATTTTCAATGAAATTTGTTGGGATTTTCTTATATAAGTCAATTTGATTTAGGTATAACTTAATATAATAATACTATGTTGCTTATTTAACTTTGATTCATTTACCATGAGGTTATAATCAGGTAATGTTACTCCCATTTTTAATGAATTTAAGTGTGTAAGTTTGTATAGTTATACATCATAGGAAATAAGCCATAATTTTTTGAATATTCAATGTAATTTATTGAGATATTCTTATTTTAATCAATTAGATATGCTTGTTAATTAATATAATAGATTTATGTTGCAACTTATAATTCTGTTTCATTTCCTAGGCTGTTATAATAAAGGTAAAAAATCCCCATTTTGTAGTGAATTGGTGTTTTCTATCTTAAAACAGTAAGGTATCTTTAGGAAAAATTTGCAATAACTCTTATTATTTTTGTACTGAAATTTGGTGGGACTTCCCTTACTTTAGTTAATTAGATATCGTTGTTAATTAATATGATAGATTAATGTTCCTTTTGTAGCTTTGTTTAATTTCCAAGGCTCTTATAATTAGGTAAAATTTTCATATTTTGTAGTGCTTTAGTGCATTATCTTGGACATTTAGGCATCTTAGGAGTTTTGCCATAATTCTCATATTTTGTAAATGAAATTTGTTAGGACTACCTTATTTTATCAAATAAGATATGTTTGTTAATTAATATAATAGATTTATGTTATATAAAAAAAAATCTGTATCATTTCCTATGAGGTTAAGTTTAAAGGTAAAATCACCTTGGTGTATCAACATTTTATGTGGCACTTTTCTTTAATAATTTGGGGTCCACATAGAATTTACTTTAACATTATTTGACATTCTTTATTATTGAAATCTTCTTTTTTTTAAGTCATCTATTTAAAGCTTTTAATTAAATAAAGTTAATTTGGATTTGACATTACTTTTCACAGGGATCTTGTATTATGCTCTTTTTAATGAACTGACCTACCTATGAAGCATAAATTGACATTGTAGGAAAAAAAATTAAAATTACAATCAATTGAAATTGTTACAGGTCCCAAAAGAATATACTAGTATGCAAAATGGTTTTTTGTAAATTTATATAAATACATAGGTGATATTAAGTATATTATAGTTAGAATTTTATCAGTTAGGAGGTTTATAAACTTACTTGAGGGAAGTTAAACAAGTGACTTGGGACTACAGCAATACCTATTCTTACTCAGCTGAGAAAAATCTTCAAAGAATTATATGGTTATATATGGATAAGTTATATACTTTTAAGTTAGCAAAAGGCGACACAGGCTCATCTCGGGTATCTCAAAGGGGTATTATGTTAAGTAATGATTACGGATTGAATAAACCTAAAAAGTGATTTTAAAATAATATACAGAGTAAAAATCAAGAAAGCTTTATATGTTTATCAAAGTGGGTTATTTTTTTTTATGGACCTCATATAAAGATTAAGATATATTTGAGCCCGCGTCACGATAAAACCAACATAATGAGTTTGCGACCAGCATGGATCCAGACCAGCCTGCGCATCTGTTCGGCTATCTGGTGTTACATGTATACGGTTTGTAAGTGAACAGTAAAAGCCCAGCTGGCCACATACAAAATATAGTAGTCTATGCCTTGATTATGAGCTGACCGAAATGGGGGAATTTTGTAAACTTTAAGGGTGGCTTAGCCTGTCCGTTGTGATTACATGTCTAAAAAAGCGCAACATGGTATAATTTTAGCCACCATAGAATTTTTTATCTAGAAAAATATCTAGCTATTTTTTTATTTGTACAAAATATAGAAATTGTAACAATGTATAATTAAGTAAATGTTTCACTATACATGTACAAATAATGAAACTACTAAAAACAAATGTCCGTACAGCTGCAGTACGGTATTTAGAGGGTCACGGGTTCGAGTCCATGTCAGAATGCACTTTTTTCTCACCCTGTGACTGACAAACATTTGTATAGCCAGCTAGAATTAATTCACAATGCTAAGTAACCCTGGGAAATTCGAAGAAATATTTGCATATACAGTGAGGTTTATAACTATTCAGTATTTAAACAACAAAAACGTGTAAGCGGCCGAAATAGCTCAGAGGAACTCAAGAGCCGCCGAATCGTATTCCGAGTGTCAGGGGTTCGAGTTCCTGCCCAGGCTGTTTACATATCGATATAAATCTGTCAGAAAAAATAGGAAGGAACTGTCTAAAAATAATTATCACCCTAATATTCATTCGTCGATAGGATTCCGGACAGTCTTTGATGAAAAGTCAGAAGTATGAACTTGTTAAAGGAGGGTGGGGTGCTAGTCTGATTACTACTGCGATGTTACAAATTAACTTTAAACTTTAATGTAAAATATCACAATAATACTTCTTTATATAATATTTCTATTCTTTGACAGGGACAAAGAACATCTCTTACATGTTAAAGAAACAACAAATTTACATAATAGTATCTATCTAAGAATATTCCTTTAATTACTTGTCAATAGTAACAGACGCAAAACACGTACTTTTTAATAAGCGATTAGACGAACGCAGACGCACGCTAAACGTTTCTGGGAATAAGAAACGCACGCTTTCAAGACGCACGATATAAACGAAAAACGATACACGAAAAACGATAAATGTTAAACGCTTGTAAACGATGCACGCTTGAGAAAGCGTTTCAGCAAACGCACGTTGCACGCTATACGCACGCACGTTACACGAAAAACGGACGCACGAAAAACGCTATTTTTGACAACCGAAACGTTCACCCTACTGTACCGGACGAGATATCCGGAACACTCTGAACACTTCGATGATAGGTTGGACATAACCAGTTCATTCGTATCTAATTAACGGTACAAAATACCTGCATTTACTCATTTACGAAGTCTAAGAAAGATCTGGTTTATGTATTGAAAATTTTATGCTTGTTATTAAATAATTAGGGCTTTGACACCTAATTTCATATAATACCATACACCAAAAACCATATCCCAGCAAACACCCGACGTTGACACAACGTTGGATCAACGTTGAAAATTGGTCGCGACGTCGGCGACCTTCACACAACGTCAAACCAACGTTGAAACCCCGACGTCTAACAAACGTTTCATTTTGACGTCGACTCGACGTCGGATTTTGGTCGGTAATCTGATAATCAAAACAACAACAGTGTCACGTGGGTGGCTACCGTACGATATTCGATAGGTGGCGCTCGGTAAACAAATAGCCGCAGATCAGTATAATATATATTTGCACTATATTTTCTTTTTAATAATAACTTATTTCCTCGAATTAGTCAAAGAAGTGTTTAAATAATTGACAATGAAGTTGTAATCATTTTTGTGGGCTTCATTTTATAGTGGTAAATAATCTAGTAAATTCGAATTGGAGTTTTATCGGATTTGAAATTCAATTGTATTGGCGGACAAAAACGACAGATTAACAGACAAAGTTGTGTATTCCAAACAAATAGAAAAGGTAGGCAAACGTGATATATTGTTTTAATGCTTATTTACCGCATGTTTGCATGTATTCGACGGTTAATTGATCATTGTAAAGTTTGACTCGTAAAACTTAAAGTCACATGATTTCGCGAGATAAATAATTTCGTTTCCTCGTTAGAGCACTTTATTATTTGCTTTAGAACAAGGACTAAATCAATGGTATGAAATAAACTAGCAATTGAAATCAATGAAGGTTAAATGCAGTACGTTAATTAGACTCTCATTATTCAAATGCTGGCATATAAAATTTCCTCTTATTTCTTATCAACAAGAATTTCCCTTATATACACATGTATCAGATAACTGTAGGGTCTCAAGCACAGTTTGATTTTGATGTTTGTGAAGTTCTTAACTACAGGTTGTTAAATTGAAGTATTTTACCCATGCATTATGAGCATACCACGTGTTTCTTATATTATGATAATGATTCATGGCATTTAATACATGTAAATGATACAACTTTGGTAAGATATATCTAAAACCACATTGTTTTCGACTACTTATCTTTTCATTAATGTAATCAGACAACATATTATCAGTCAGTAAACACATTATCAAGGTTATAAATCAATAAAAATAACAGTTTGTTAATTAGCCTGCTTATCAAATATAGTGAAACAAGTTATATGCTCATATCATAAAACGTTTGTACCCTCAGCCAGTCTGTCCTTTATACTCTTAGCAGATCGGATCATGCTGGGCAGAGATTATATCTATAAAAATGACAGTAACATGTGAATTTCTTTGATGTTGTAGCATTTGTATAACTTATAATAAATATAAAAAATATAATTTTCATATTAAATTTTGCGCAGGCAAAAATCATAATATCTGACTAAATTTTCAGGTCATACTTAATGAAAATAATTAATTAATTAAACATTTTATCAGGTTGTTTTCGTAAACGTGCTTTGATAATCATAATATTGTTTTGTCTTTCAGTAAATATCAGAGATTGTGAAAATTATGATAATTCAACAACTGTCGAAAGTTCAGAGGAGGAAGATGAAATTATTAAGAGGAAAAGAAAAACACACACAAGATTTGTGACAGGTATATTCAAAATATTACATTGATCACGAAGCCATTTTTATCAAAATCAATGGATATATAGATACATGAAACTACATGGTTTAAACTAAATTCTAACACTCACGTGATTTTGTCACTATAGACAAAGAAGGAAAAACACTAGTGTTAAACTGCCAATAAACACCCGTTAGGGACTACTTGTATATGCGCTGTTATGTTTTCACCCTCGATTGTATAGTTTACAAAGCATTTTAAAGCAACAATTAAAAGCATTTTTATTTAAATTTTCAGTTCGTATAATGTTTTCTTTTCATACAATACCGAAATAATATCTCACATACACTAACGCCACATATTAGATCCATATCAGCTAATAAATATTTTGACAAAACGGCGCCAATCCGTAAGCAGCGTAATGACGTCATCCTAAGTAAACAACTCATTCATAAACAAGCTGACGTTATTTTCATACATACAAGAATGATAAATGCGGCACTGATGTAAACACAATACGACGTAAGTTTTTAATGTTGAAAACTTGATAAAATAACGTGTTTTTTCTTATTATTTCTTTTGTTTAATACTTTCTCTATCTTCGCAACCGTAGGATGCGAAAATCGAACAGCGTTATACGAAAATCGGCACCGGAAGTTATTTCCGCTTGAAAAATAACATTAGTGATTTTCCTTATTTTATAGTGTTAGAATCGAAATAAGATCGGCCTGAGAGGTGTATATCGGCTATTTAACACCGGTTTTGTCGTTTTGATGCGACAAAATTAACCACTCAGGCCTACGGCCTTCGTAGTCAATTCCTACGCATCAAAACTCCAAACCGGTGTTAAATAGCCGATATACACCTCTCAGGCCGATGTTATTTCTTAAGTAAATAAAAAAAATTAGCCTCTTTTGTTAAGGTAGTTGGATAGTTTTGTCAGAATTTCATTTAATTGTAATATATAAAATGGATTTATTTCTTGCAATTGTAACTGATTATTTGATTAATTTTTAAATTTCAGATAGTATGAATGATGATATCTCAGGTTGGAGACGGTAAAGGTTCAGATTATGATATGCTTAAACTTTAAAGTATGCCCCAGATCGCCATAGTGGAGGTGGACGAAAGAAGAATGCTAATTACGATATATGAACATTGCTATTTGTAGTAATATCAAAATATTCACAATATTGTTCCATTTAACATTGAGATAAAAAGTACAAAGAAAAATATACAAAGAAAAAAAAACAATCAGTGAGTTGGATAGATGATTGAAAAATCTCAACATCAGGATGATCGGTTCAGTCGGAAATAAGACTTTGTGCTATAAGAAAAGCATGCATGAATGTTAACCATAAAAAATGTCAGTGTTAATGTTTATGAAGAATTTTGTATATCTAAAACATGATTATTTGATACATGAAGCGTTATTTACGTACATACTGTCAAGTTTAATAGTTTCGAAATACATTATGTTAATGTTACATTTGTTATAGTACCACATTTATTGTTTTGTACATGTTTTGTTTGTTTGTTTGTTTCATTTTACGCCTTTTTCCAACAGTATTTCAGTCATATAGGCGGGTAGTTTCCTAACCATCGTAATTCGTGTATTGAAAATAAATTGTTAAAATTATTTAAAGAATGCTTATTTGTTTACCCTACTAATAAGCTTAAAATGAAAAAAAAATCATATTCCAAAAAGTTTGAAATGAGGTTAAATCATAGTCAGATAAGGTTGGATTATGGTCAGATAATGGTCAGAAAAGGTTGGATAATGGTCAGATAATGGTCAGAAAAGGTTTGATTATGGTCTAGATAATGGTCAGAAAAGGTTGGATTATGCCCAAATAATGGTCAGAAAAGGTTGGATTATGGTCAGATAAGGTTGGATAAGGGTCATTTTATGACGTTGTATAGACGTCGGATTCTGACGTCTAAAAAACTTTCAAATCCAACCTTCTGCCAACGTTTACCAAACGTCAGGGTCTAACGTCAGTACAACGTTGGTACAACGTCTTTTGTTTGCTGGGATACAGTCGTACAAATGGCTTAATATATATTCCAGTTTAAGATAGTGTCACTTAAAGCAGATAGAAAACTGCTTAATAGAATTTATTGGAACTTTGCATAGTATTATATTATAAGGTAATAGAATAAATTTAGCTTAACCGAGCTCAACGATCTCGGTTTTGAGTTAAATCCCCTTTAATTTGACAATTTTGCTTATTTCAGGGGCAGGTAATTCACAATCAAGTTATACAACGCTTTATTTTTCTGTTTTTTATACAGCCCATTTCTGTTCGAGTTACAAACTTACAAACAACAACAACGAGGAAAAAAATAAAGTCGGTGACACGCACTATGTTTTTTTCTTTAAACTATTTTTGTTATCAAATTTAAGATCAAGTAAGTGAATTTAATACTCTGTCATTTGTGTGTCTATCTAGCCATCAAAATGTTCCCCTTTGAGTAATAGTTAGACGCTAAAAAGAAAAACAAAATGTTTAAATAACTAAGAGAGAACGTACAGTGAAATAGATACGATTCGGATAACTTTCAATGTAAAAAATAAGTATCTTTACAAAGAGAATATTGTTATGAAAATGACAAACAAGTTTTAAATTACACTAAAGCACATTTGAAATGTTTAAGGTAAAATGTATTAACAAGAGCTGTCTGTCAGTCAGGGCACTCGACTATTACATGTATAAGTACATGCATTTGCCTCAAACATTAGGGAGTTAACAAAATTTATCTGCGAACAACAGGCCGAAGAAGACTTTTTTTTAAAAATCATTTCAAGATGCTTACCTTTTGCTTTTATTAAAGTTGATCGACCGATACTTTGGGAATGAAGAAACCAGCACTGAAAAATTAAAACAAACAAATAATCACAAAACAACAACATAAACAAAACAAAACAAAATTAAAACAACAACATCATTTGCATGATGCGTTTCGGATTATGTCTTGTAAAACATGTTCGATATTTTAAGACAATGTCTAGCACATGAATATGTCAGTAAAGATAAAGGTCAATGCCATTGAAAAAATATTGCTTGAAACAAAAAGTTCGCTGGATTGTGGAACAGGCACATTTACCACAATGAAGGATACCATATTTTGTTCGCTTTTTGCAAATTGCGTAACACCATATTCGTTCGTTATTTTTTATAAGTTGCTAACGCCATTTTCGCTGTTTATAAGTTGCAGCTACCATAGTCGTTGCTTACCGTTGCTGACACCACATGCGCCGTTTATAAGATGGTAACACTATATTTGTTGTTTATATAGTGCTAACATCATATAAGCTTGCTTGTTATAGGTTGCTAACACTATGTTTGCTCTTTTAAATACGTTGTTTTCATTATTTTTGTCCGCGATTTTAAAGTTTCTTACACAATATTCGCTGTTTAAAAGATGTTAACAACATATTCGTTGTTTATTGATTATTAACATCATATTCGCTTGGCTTCCTTGTTATACTCGTATAACTTGTTTTCACAATATTTGCTGTGTATATGTTGATAACACCATGTTCGCTGTTAATAGGTTGCTGCCACCCTTTCTGGCAACATAATCACGGAAAATATGTAAGCAAAAGATAAGTACCGAATCTATCGAAAATAATGTTATTTCATATTCGTTAAATTTCAGGCCATATAAGTGCGGACTTTCTCTTTTATTCCCCTCTGACAAACGGGACATATCTCTAAAGGATTGGCACATGTCATGCATAATTCAAGGTGTGCGCATGGTAAGAATAAAGCATTGACAGTATTCGTGTGACATTTCATGCAATAAACTATACTTCTAAGCCGTCGATTTTCTTCTAAAAGTGATTCTGAAAAGCAAGCATTACATTTTAGGTGTTTATGTCATATAAGAAATAAATACAATCAGGCAGAAATTTTCATTTTGCAAGAAAATTCGTTCAATAAATATTATGATATTTCACAATTAATATCAAATTAACAAGTAACGTATTGTTATATTTCCTAATTGATATGAAATAAACAGCAACCCTCATGTTTCAATGTTGTATTTTGGTAATTACACTAGCTACAATTTGTTAAGTTTTAGAAAAATATTAAAGTTAATCATCACTTTAATCATAAAGAAAATATTAATTAAGATACGCCAAAAATATTGAACTTAAGAAATCAACCAGTCGCACTTGATGATTGTTCATTGTTTCTTTCTAGAATTTCTTCTATCAAATCTATTAACTTCTCCAAAGTAGGTCCATTTTGGCCTGCAATTATAAAAAAAATACAATATGTGGATAACCTTGAAAGTGCTTCGTTAAATCTGATTAAAAGACGCTTTGTATCAGTAAACATCATGCTCTTGAAGAAAATTCAGGTTTTTTTCAAATTTTTAAAACAAAAACCATAATAACACCACACCTTCATCTGACAATGTATGAATAGCTTCTTGTATAACATCCTCGCCATAACCCATTTCAAGACACTCCTCTATATGTTGACTATCCTTAGTACTTCTTGCCATCAGCACCGTACCTCTTTTCAATGAAAAATTTAAGATACTTTATACAATCTGAGGTGTTCATAACGCAATTAAACATAATCGCGAAAGTAGCATAATTATTTGCTTTTCTGAGTGTCCATATTTATGTCCAAAGTTGGGATGTAGCCCAAACATTGATTGAATGAATAAGGTTCAGATATGTTTTCGTGCGAATGTGACAATTTTTCAATTCTATAACACACACATATTTCTAAGCAGGTGAGTTTCACGTGACATTTCCTTCAAAAATGTTTCATTTCTCATCACGTTTAAATAACGCAAAAACAATAACTCTATAATTAGAGATTAACAAAAATACCGGACGTGATATTCGGAAACACTCTGAACACTTCGATGATAGGTTGGAAATGACCATTTCATTCGTATCTAATTAACGGTACAAAATACATACATTTACTCATTTACGAAGTCAAAGAAAGATCTGGTTTATATATTGAAAATTTTATGCTTGTTATTAAATAATTAGGGCTTTGACACCTGATTTCATACAAAACCATACACCAAAAACCATATACAGTCGTACAAATGACTAAATATATTCCTGTTTAAGATAATGTCACTTAAAGATCCTGTATGTTGTAATTCATGATGTAACAAGACTTAAGTGACATTTTATATATGTGTATTATTATTCTTCTAAAACAATTCCAAACATCCAAGAATATGTTAAATATGTACTGCAAATGTTAATACGCATTATAAGTAATCATTTACATGTATGAATTCATTTTTTTATTGAAAAATGTGGCTTGAAAATAAATTTGTAGTTACCTCCCTTTATTTAATGAAATGTAAATTTGATAATCTCTTCACAAAAATGCTGATTGGAGTTACAGGATTTTTTCATTTACTGTTTGTAAAGTCAGGATTAGTGCTATTATAGAGTAAAATTGTAACCGAAAATGTCAAAACTACTTAATGCAGAAATTTCTTAAACACATTATATATACGATACACTACTTTTAAATGTTTCGTTGAACTTAAATTTATGGATTTTTAAGCTTTCCTCTGTCACTGATGATTAAATCCAGATTGAACAGAACATGATATCAGCAATAATTAGAACACTGTATGATTCTTTACGTTAACTTTCAAAACTAGATTTTTTACAAATTTCCTTTGGATATCGATCGATTCTCAACCACACACAAAAATGCATACTTTGCTTGATTTAAGTAATGCTGATAAGGTAAAACATTTTATACCACTCAAATAAAATACGGTCATTTATAAAATTATTGTAATTATAGCACACTACTGTCGTAAACATTAACTCTAATTTATTTACCTATTGTAATCTTTTTTTTTAAATATTTGTCATGTAAAAAAAACCATGTCAAACAGACGAAATTGCAACCGATTATGGTATTATCAAATACTTGCATAGATAAAAGCTATAAATCATTTGAACAACTTGGCGCTCTTTCAAGAAAATAAAAATATATTTACAGATAGATATTTACGTAGCTAGGTGGCAAGTTGTTAGGTGGCTAACATTAAGCAGCGCTGAAATGTTTTCAAGGTTATGAAATGAAGGCGTATGCTAGGGCTGCATATGGAGATTTTGCAGCATTTGTATTCAATTTATAATTAAGACT